TTTGCCTTCCAAGCCACGAGGGCACACTGCTGGCTCATGTTCAGTTTTTCATCCCTCAGGACCCCCAGGTCGTTCTGTGCAGGGCTGCTGTCAAGGGGCTCCTCCCAGTCTCTATGGATGCCTGGGATTCCTCCATCCCGAGTGCCAAACTCTGCACTTTGCTGTGTTGAATCCCATCAGGTTCACCCAGGCTTTTCACCCCTCAGGACCCCCAGGTCCTTCTGTGCAGGGCTGCTCTCAAGGACAACCCAGTGCTCCCTTATGGGCCACATCAATGGTCTTTTCCAACCACACGGATGCTGTGGGTCGGGGTGACCCCACGGATCTCTTCCGGCCATAACAACGCATTGATTCCCTCTGCAGGAGGTGGTGTCGCAGTTCAGGAAGCTGACCAGGAAAAACAGGGAGCAGCTGTCGGAGCTGATGTGCCTGGACAAGCAGAAGGGGCTCAAATCTCTCAGCAAGGAGAAGCGGCAGAAGCTGGAGGCGTACCAGCATCTCTTCTACCTGCTGCAGGTGGGCTGGGGTGGAGGGATCCCCATTTATTGCCCACCTCTCCGAGGTGCTGGGGCTGAGCGCAGCTCTCCGTTCCGCTCCTCCCCTGCAGACACAACCCGGGTACCTGGCCAGGCTGCTCTTCCAGGTGCCTCAGAACAAATCCACCACGTTCCTGCAGCCCGTCATCTTCGCGCTGTACGGCTACGCCTCCCACCCGCGGGAGGGATTCCTGCTGCTGCAGCTCTTCAAGGCGGCCCTGCAGGAGGAGATCAGGTTGGGAGGGGGTGGGGGGTTGGGTTGGGTTGGTTTGGGGGGGTTCAGGGTCTGCCATGGTAAGGAGATTTGAGGACGGGTGCTGAGATTGCTGGGGGGGAAAAAAAAAGGTGGATTTTGGGGTACGTTTGCAAAAAGCTCCGTTTTGGTCTCCAAACAGAGCAGCTGGAGCTGCAGTCCGTGCAAATCAGTGCAACCCCAACATCTGGCTCTGAGCAGATGCCTAAAAGCTCTCCCTTAGCAGAATGGGGGTCCTGCACTGCACCGCTGCCCCCACCTCCAGCCCTGCTGTTTGGTGAGGGCGAAATGTGGGGGAAGGGAATGGTGGCCAGAAAGGCTTTTAGGGCTGTCCTGGACTTCGTGCAGCCTTTGGCACTGCCCCGTCCCCATGGAGAAGCTGGGATGGGCAACTGGAGCTACGGCCAGGCACCAGCGCTGTCCCACAGGGCTCAGAAATGGGGCTGCTCCTATTAACATCTTCGTTAACCACGAGGGGATTGAGTGCATCCTCAGTAAGGCTGCAGATGACACCCAGCCGGGAGGGAGCGTTGATCTGCCTTGAGGGCAGGAGGGCACCGCAGAGGGGGCTGGACAGACTGGATGGATGTTTGATTTCAATAGGGCCAAGTGTGGGGTTCTGCATCTTGGTCACAACGACCCCAGGCAACCCTGCAGGCTTGGGGAGGAGTGGCTGGAAGCTGCCTGGTGGAAAGGGAGCTGGGTGTGCTGATGGACAGTGGGCTGAGTGTGAGCCTCTCCCCTCCCCATCCCCTCCATCCCCATCCCCTCCATCCCCATCCCCTCCATCCCCATCCCCAAGAAGGCTGATGGCACCCTGGCTGGGATCAGGAACGGTGAGCAGGAGCAGGGAAATCATCCTGCCCTGAGTTTAGCATTTGTGAGGCTTCACCTCCAGTTCTGCGTTCAGGTTTGGGTGCCTCCATACAGAACGGACGTGGAGGTGCTGCGGCAGGTCTGGGGAAGGGCTTGGAGAATATGGGCTGCGAGGAGAGACTGAAGGAACTGGGGCTGTTTGGTCTGGGGAAGAGGAGGCTGAGGGGAGACCTCACTGCTCTCTGCCAATATCTGATTGCAGCAGAGCAGGGCTGGGCTCTTCTCACTGGTGACAGGACGAGGGGAAATGGCCTCCAGTTGTGGCAGGGAGGTTTAGGTTGGGTGTCAGGACAAACTTCTGAACAGGGAGGGGTGGTGAAGCACTGGGATGGGCTGTCAGGGAGCGAGTGAGGCCCCATCCCTGGGTGTGCTGAAGTCTGGATGTCTC